CGGGTTTAGCTGGCAGCTCCTGTTGGAATCTCGCTTTCGTTTCTCGAGATTCTCGGTATTGGCACTATCCTCTTGGGATAAGTTGTATAAGCCGTAAGTTAGAACTGCTTTCGGATCGAATTTAGCCACTGGTGAAAATCGAGAGTCTTGGGGAGTTAGGCAAGAAGATGGCCGGTCTACGGGGTGTTAATTTTAAGAAGCCAAAGGGAAGGGGAAATATATATTGGTGTATAAAAATTTCGAGGCGAAACAGGATATAAAATAGATATATAAAATATATATATATATATATATATAATATAATATAGATATATAAAATAGATTAGTTATTTTTAATTCGAATTTCATAAATAAATAAGTCTCGAAGATCGAAATTTTCGTAATTACGAAATATTGTGTTCCACGTATGTTGTTTTTTTTTTTATTTTAAAAATATCGTACCATAAAAAAAAACTGAAGTTCTATCATTTTCTTTATATTTTTTAATCTACATTATGAAATATATTTTCAGATATATTACGCAAAAGAAATGCAAAATCTAAATCTGTCCTTGGCGGGCAAAAAAATTTTTCTTCTTAAATTTCGCCACGGAGACCGGCTGTCTGGCGAATTGGGGCAGGCGATAAAGCGGACGAGGAATTTTTTTAATAAAAGAACGGAAGGACGCGTGAAAAACGAGGCGTGAAAGGATAAAGGAGAGTGGAAAGGCTAACGACTACCTGGGCCGAAATTCGGTTTGTTCGAGGTTGTCGAAGTTACGTTTCGTTGTAATGGCCGCGATAAAGGGGAACCAGATAAAAGAGGGCGATAGCGGAAGAGAATCGAAGAGAATGGGGGCGGGCGTAAAATGTGAATTACATCGAAATCGGACGATGGGTGGTTCCGCCAATCAATTGCCACTTGACAGCGGATGGCCAGTGCTATCGATGATCGAGGAATGATTAATGACACGGCACAACTATAAACGGTGTAATCTACCATCGAAAACGATTTACATTGTACCGTTGCTTGTTTCGAAGGTGTTACGTTGCGGACCCACCACCCATTCTTTCGAAACGCTCTTCGATCCCAAAATGGATAATAGGAATGCAACAAATAGAATTCCTTTCGAAATTGT